ATTTACCAACAAAATTAATATATACACATATATTATATATACATCTATAGTAGAAGCCACAGTGACTATGCAGTGTTGGTCTTTCGGCGATATTGGAAACTATTGAAAATTGATAAATATAGATAAGCTACCAACAATGAGTTTTTGATATATTTAATTTTTTATAGTGTTTTTCTTCATGTTATTCTTTAGTTCTAAAATGTAACTCTTATTTATACATCGATGATTGAATCGTGCTTTAGTTAAAACTATAATGATAGTCTGATAGTAGTGGGGTACAGTTTCTTAGGGGTTATTCGGCATCTAAGTGTTGACATTCGGTAATTGGAATTTTATGACTACTGTTGTTAATATAATGTTAAATACAATATGGAATTTATTTTTCAACTTTCAAGCACTTTTCAAGAAAAACATTATTTTTAAAAAATAATGAGGTGTTGTTGTAACCGAAAGTTGTTTAGCGTTGATGCGTTTAAAACTGAAGAGTAACTTACTTTGGCTTCGATGTTTGGGGCTTAACAGGTTCACTGCGTACGTAATCTAATAGGAACATGCCAGGTGCTAGGAACTTTCTTTCAACAAACAGTGATAAGAGTTGGTTGTTGGTATTTTATATGACGTTTTAGACATTACATGCCACATTTTGGGAGCAAATGTCAAAAGGACGTGGATCCGCGCCGTTAGCACCACACTTTAAATTTTCACACCAAATGCTATCTTATTTGTGAAATAAAAGGCTATAAAAAATTATGTTTTATTTGAAAAGTAACAAAACATACACTAAAAATAATATAATAAGAGCAACTTGAACGTTATAGGTAATAGTACAAAAAATACACCAACTAGAGTAATTTTCGGTGTTCATGGTATGTTACGAAGCATGCGCCTAGGCAAAGACCAGGTTTGTCAGTACAAATACGACATTCATAAATTGTCTCATTTTCTTTTTTTATTCACTGTATTCACCCTGCACTTACGTTTTGTTTCTCCTTTTGTATTTTTCTCAGCTATTTTGCTCAAAATATGCCGTTCAGATAAGTTATTCAATGTTTTAGGAACATTTTTCTAAGGAGAGCGTAGTAAATTTCTTATAATTTCTAGTCGAAAGTCATAAAGAGACAGTTTTGTTCCAGTATATTTGTTAAATAAAAAATAAGAGTTTACTAAAATCACTTATAGTATATGTATACCCAATTTTATGTAACAGCGAAGGGTTTTTCTTTCGCAAGGATAGTATAGGTTTGTTCCAACACAACGAAAAACCGTCACGTAACGGTTATGCTCCTGTGCACTAAACAAAATACGTTTCAACAAAAATATGATCGTTCATCTCATCGTCCTTCCGACGGTTCCAACAAAAATTGTGACGGTTTCGTGACGATAATTTCAGTAATCTGGCAAATGCATGTACTGGTTGGGATGACTTGCGCACTAGGATTTTATTCTACTTAAATTTGTTGGGCCTAGATTAACTTAGATTTTATATTAAAACTGTAAATTGGTTTAGAAAAAAGAAGTTAGGTTAATAATTTTATCAGGTGCTTATGATAGACTTGTTATTTATTTACGAAGGAATTAGTGATTTTTCTAATTATTGTAGTAGTGAGGATGATTTGGAGCTATTAGCTGAACCTAGGGTAAAAAAGCAGAATTATTTAGGTCGATTGTCACCAAATTATGTCAGTTGTCAGAAAATCGTTCTAACATCAGTTTCCAAATTACCGTCATCAGACGATACAAATGATGAACATGCGCATTCAAAACTGTACAAGTAGTTTCATATCGATAACTCTTGCTCATTATCACCTACTTTGTCTCTTTAACATTTAATTTTGATAAACTAAATGGAAAGTATGCTCTCACTCTAGATGGAATAGAAAAATTGGATAATGCTGTAAATGAAATGAATCAGTTGAATGCCAATATTTTTAAATGTCAAAAAGAAGACACAACCTTCTACTATTCATACCAGTTCATACTATTCATACCATATACAATACAGTTTGACCCTTCAAGAAAAATTTAAAGATATATGCTAAATGTACATTGCAAATTTGATTAATTCCTAGCCACAGTGTTTATATGAAGTAATTCAGGTCTGAGGAGGACATACATAGCATACTCAAATATAGCATTAGGCTATTGCTGAAGAGAATTAACAAAAACAACATGAGAATTCACACCATGACATGACAACGCATACAAAAAGATAAACTAATGAATTACCAAACATGGCAAACTAACAAAAAAAATATGTAAATGGATACATACAATACTTTACTCTAAACACTAAAATAGATTGGTCCTATAATAATAGATAAAAGTAATAATTCCCTACGAAATATTGGACTAAATATAACACTAAGTAAATATACATATAGTATTCAAGGAAAAATTATTTAACACTAGCCATACAAATACTTTTATGTTCCTGCTAATACAATAAAGTACTAACCCTATGATTGAGTTTAAATGAAGTACTTTCTAAACTAAGTATACTACATTTCCATAGCAATACAACATGCACTATGCACATAATAGGATTCCGGGGGTCACAAAGGCGACATTCAACATCTTATGACATTTACAAATGGTTTTTTCAGTTACAAATTACACAGATAAGATATCAAACATCTGCATTTATCATTATCCAACACTACTATTCATATTCACTGTTGTAATCAATATAATTAACGGACATCTGCAAAACGTAAAACACACATGTTTTAAGATATTCCAAATATGTAAAAACAAATTTTAATATTTGGAATGTAGCATGCAGTAACATGAAAACAGATTGCTGGTCATTCTTAGTCTTACTTACTCCTTTTCACACACACAGTAGTACTCTCTGTTTTTTTGCAACACCAACCACGCATGAAGAAACCTAATATTAATAGCAAACATATAAGAATGGTCATAAATATTTCCATTTCCATGATGGAAGTTTATTTTATGTTCACCTAAATTTGAGATATTGATTTCAATTATTTGTAAAAAAGGTTTTCAAATGTTGTTAGAATATTTGATTGCTGACCAGTTTGAATGCTTATTAATTACCATAATTAATAATTCATTATATTAATAACATCATTAAAAATGCAAATTTGATCCATATTCAAGGATATTGAAATTCACAAATTGTAAACGAAATGACCACAGTACATAGCCCTATAGTAAGGTAAGTCCCATAGAAAGATTTGGGAGAGAGTTTCTAGCTCCGAATGCGGACGGGCCTAAACTAATTTAATTTGGCGGCAAATTTAAAACGTAGGTTCTCAATTTTAGGCGGCAAATTAAAAAAAATATGTATTGAATTTTTAGGAATGCAATTATAAGCGTTTTAAAGATTTTTAAAATCTATATAGTATATAAATGAGATTCATGTTGGTTAAGATTTAAAAGTAATTTAACTACAGAAGCAAAATGTACGAAATAGTATCGAGTTTATATTTAATACCAAAAGTTTGGTATAATTAGATGCTGCTCTTACTTAGTGCTTGTAAAAATAAACTACTAATGCTCAGAATGTTTAATAGCCCTTTACCAACTTTAACCTTCACCATTGATTGAAATATTAGATTATTAGATTATAATATTTCAATCAACGCTTTCACCCATTCACAAAAAATATTATTTTGATTTTGCGGTTTGGAATACAATACTATTTTGGTATTGTACCTTCTTCCCTTTTAGCAATGTTTATTAGATATATAAAAATTCATATACTGTTTCTATCTCCTATTTCTAAAATTTGGGATACAATGTTTTTATGAGATCATTTTTGCATTTACAACAAAGGCGTGTATTACAATGTTGCCGCTTATGCACTTATACAATTTTCCATGGATACTCAAAATTCTTTAGAAATAAATTATTCTAAATTTAAGTAGTGATTTTAGTACAATTTGATACAATCTTTGTTTTTTGGAAATCATTGCATAGTATAAAGAATCAATATTTTGGTAAATTAATGCGAAAACTAGTGAAACCATGGCAACAGCAATTACGTCAACGTCATACGCCTCTTGCTGTTATACTCCCACCCAATGACGTATAATATATAGACTACGCAGTCCCCTATTCTCGCTATAGAATCGAGTGTCCGAAAGATCTCGGCTCAAGGTTGAAGGTATGTTTATCACAACAGCGGCGTGTTCATTTATATTTTAATGACAATAATTATTTTTTTAATTAAAATTAAATATTTATGATTTCTTTTTGTTCCCATCTATAAGAGAAATAATTATTTTGATAAAATAGTATGGCATTTTACTAAAATAGTAAGTAAATAACTCTCAACAATTTAAAATAAAATTTGCTTGTCACACAAAATGGAGAAAATGTTTTCATACGTCCATGATGTTTTCAATCACAAGATCAACTTCGTGATGCTTCGTAAGAAATCATGAACTTCGTGTATCTTCGTATCAAAACAATAAACAATAACAAAGGTATTCATGTTTTGGACACTTTTTAAAGCGTTCACCGAGTCTATATATTATACGTCATTGCTCCCACCCAATGATACGTCATTGCTCCCACCTAACCTGACTAGTAGCGCCGTCGCTATTCCGAACGGTTGGACCCATGCAATTTACTCTCCCCATTTGTTCTATCTCACTATATTACTATGTATGGTATATACTGTGCGAAATGACATATATATTAACACTTGACACCTGTCCTGTGTCTGTCACCAGTGATATGACAAGAAAAAGCTGACTTTGTCATATAAACGTCAATCTAAACATAATTTTCTGTTTTAAATTATTATTAAATTATTATTAAAATATTAATACATTTAATCATTATTGATTTTTAGTACTAAGTATTGATCAAAAGTTCGATAGGATTCTAAAATCAGGAATTATGTCCATTTTCTGAATTCTCATGGTTGGTTGATTAGTCACTACTAAATTTATATAAATAAATGTGTGATCACATCAAAACTGAAAAACAATAAAAATTATCAATATTGGTATTTTATGAATAATCACACAGTAATATGTGTAATCGCTTTCATAACAGCAATTATCCTTAAAAATGGTTAGCTTGTCACGAAGCTTTAATACAAATTCTGGAGTAAGCATGAAAGTTTTATTTAAAAAATTCCATTACAATAAATATTTTTAGGGTGCAACATTTTTTAGCGAATCTGTAAATATGGATGACAGGCAACATCTTCAGCCTATATTGGACTCTTATGGAGTATTCAAACCACTGAAAACTGTTCCCTTGTTTAGTTTTCACTTGTTATTTATATTTGTCTTGGACATAATAGCTATTTGTTATTCTGTAATGCATCCTGATGAAAAGAGCAAATGCCGAGAATATTTTGTTGTTATTTACTTACATATAGGGCTTTGGTTCTTAACACTTGTAAGTATAACTAATACTTATTGAAATATTTTAGTTATTTTGTAAAATATTCTTAGATAACCCTTTCCTATTAAAGAAAGTGATATAAGTCTTAAAACAACAACAAAAATTAAACCTTATAGCTTATTGACCAAATAACTGGATGGAAAACATTTGGTTATTACCTGGTACTAAGCAAAACCTGACATTTTTTAAAAATACCTGGAGATTTCATAATAATCAGTGTCAGAATATCTTGCATAAATCTAAGGAAATAAGTAATTAAATAGGTTATCTATTACATTTTTGTGTTGTTTCATATTTTCTTGTTTTTTTTATATGTCCATTGATCTTTATATTTTTGAATGTGTTTTCTTTTACAATTTAAATAACAAAGCAGTATCATACAGTGGTGGGCTTCATAGTTCCTTTTGAGAAACTAATTCTTTGGATCTAGTTTCTAAAAAGGAACTAGTTCTTTGGAACTATAACTAATTTTGCGTTCAGATCAGTATGATCAATCTTGATATGAATCAGATCAAGTGTTTAGAAATAAGTTCAATATTCGAACATGCATGAGCATGGAACCCCAGAAAATTACTAAATTCAAGACTGTAGGGAAAAAGATCTGTTGGAAGACTTAAAAAGAGATGGGAAGACAAAATCGATGAGGATGCCAGGAACTGCCTGGAAACACATTCATGGAAAAGAACAAGGTAAATCGAAATGATTAGAGAAACTTGCTGAAGGAGACCAAGGCCCGATTTGGGCTGTAGTGCCATTGGATGAGATGGAAGCTAACTTTAAATATAGAATTTATGCTGTTTTTACATTTAATAATTTTCTAGAATAGAGTTTTTAACCACTGATAGAAACTATATATCCAGATTGATCTGACAGCTTTGACAAAGGCTAATTACTTCTTTATTCCTTATTCCACAACTTTTACTTCTTATACCTAGTCTACATTTTTCTTCAAACTTGATATTTTGAATCCATGATCACTCTATCATAAAAATATAACAAACCTGTCTAATAATAATATATATGTATGAAATGATTTGTAGCTGGTTGATCAAGTAGCCAAATGTCAGCACCATGGTTTAAGATTAAATGGTTATTTAGATTTTTACCATCAAACAAAACTTCATATTAGTTTACCCTTCTATGTTGTGAGTTTATGGAGTGTTGCTTTAATGTTTGTACAAGCATTGATGCAACATTTTTACCCAGATGATTTTGCAGAGAGATGTGTTAAAGGAGGAAGTCTGTCACCTATATCTTATGTATGTGCCATTATTACACTGGAGACTTGCCTCATATTTGGTGTTAATGTTAACTATATGGGTATGTATGTTGTAAAATTACATTAATTGTTAGTTAAGAGTAGATAGAAAAAAAATCTTAAAAATTATCCATTTAAGAATTTTTAGAAAAGTGGAACAAGACATCACTCAAACCTAATTTGGATTTAGGAATGCCATGGGTACATGAGAGGCATTATTTGGACTTAACATCCTCATGCAAAGATGTATGAATGTAAACCAACCACTCTATGTTTGTTTTATTGATTGCACTAAGGCGTTCAATAAGGTCTGACACAACCATCTTATACAGTTACTTAAAGATAAACACATCAACAAAAAAGACTTAAGAATAATGACTCATCTCTACTTTAACCAAACAGCAAAAGTAAGAGTAGGCAAAGAACTTTCGGAGGAAGTAGAGATAAAAAGAGGCATAAGGCAAGGTTGCATACTCTCCCCCTTATTGTTCAATCTATATTCGGAAGAAATAATTAAAAAATCACTCGAAAATGTAACAATTGGAATAAAAGTCAATGGCAGACCCATTAACAATATCATATATGCCAATGATACTATAATATTAATTGCAGAGAATATACAAGATCTACAGGCACCCTTAGATAATGTAGTAAATGCTAGTGAGGAAGGCGGACTAATGCTCAATGTTAATAAAACAAAATTTATGACAATTTCCAAAACACAACAACAAGACATTTTAAACACAAGAGAGGTTCCAATAGAAAAAGTAAAAAAATATAGATATCTTGGTACAATTATTAATGAAAATGCGAGTATACAGAAGAAATAAAAATGAGAATTGGACAAGCTAGAGCAACATTTAATAAGATGAGAAAAGTATTATGCAGTAGAGACCTTAGTTTGCAACTCAGAATAAGAATATTATGTTCATATGTGTTTTCGCTGCTGCTGTATGGGGTGGAGGCCTGGGCCTTAAAGAAAGAAGTAAGTGATCTACTTGAAGCATTCGAGATGTGGATCTACCGAAGAATATTAAAAATAAGTTGGGTAGACTGACTAACAAATGTTGAGGTCCTCAGAAAGATGACAAAGGAAATGGAAATCATAAATACGATTAAGATAAGAAAGTTACAATATCTCAGCCACGTTATGAGAGGGGATAAATATGTGTTATAGAAACCATAATGCAGGGAAAATGAAGTATTGGAAGAAGACAGATCTCCTGGCTCAACAATCTCAGAAAGTGATATAATTGCAGTTCCATTGACTTGTTCAGAGCTGCAGTGTCAAAGGTGAAAATAGCTGTGATGATTACCAACCTCCTTAGAGGAGACGGTACGTAAAGAAGAAGAGTAGATCAAATAATTTGCAAATTTACTGAGAATGCAATATTTTATGATTTTTTGTAAGATAAAAAATTCTATATGTGGGTACCAAAAGATTTGGGTGAGTTTCTTGCAATAAAACCTAGACTGCTGTATGCTTTATTTGACAAATTGTTGTAACACTGTCAGTAACACTACCAAATCTTTAATTTCAGTCACTCTTGAGGAAAAGCTTTTATTAATGTCATAGTCAAGCACAACATTATTTTTAGATTTGCTAAAGAATATAACAAAACACTTATCTTTATTCAACTGGAGACCATCAGAAAAGAGCCCTGATAATGTAGTCCTGATACAAAACAAGATTTGTAGACATATTTTTACCCTGTCTAAATTCATGTTGCTCATTAATCAAGAGATTTCTACAATGCTAAATGCATAATCATTTCCTATTTGCAGGTCACCCATTTGACCTTTGTGGTTCAACTCAGTTTTGTCGTATTATACTTTTTTTTTTTTGTAATTTTATTAAATTAATTCTTAAAATATCTTTTAGCGAAAGTGATCAAATTCAATAGACAAAAACCTCAGCCTGATGTTCAAAAAGAAGACTGGATTAGTACTACTGCTCCTGACACTGTGACTCAAAATGAAGTAGGTTATAGTCAGTTGGGAGGAAAAATTTATGACTTATTGGAGAAACAGGTGAATAGTATTTTAATTATTAACATTGTTTTTCTTTCATTTAATCCAAATTTTGTCTGTGAGTGAATAATTTAATTAATACCAAATGGGATACCAAACGAATTACTGAAAATTAATTTTTGTATAATCTATATCTACGGTTTCGTTTATTGTGATTCGTTTGGTATCTTTAAACTGCCGCAGAAACAAACCTAATCGTTATCGTTATTATATCTATTTTGTTTTATTTTTAGGCCGATTTAATCCGATTCCTCAAGGAACACAATGCACGATTAGGGGAGAAAACAATGGTTTTGACTGCTCAATTACAGCAATTACGGGCTCATAGAGAGAGTTGAAACATTCTGTAAAATTTGTGATATAAATACGCTCGAAGATATATATATATATATATATATATATATATATATATATATATATATATATATATATATGTATATATTTAGATATATTAGGGTATGCTAATTTGTTTATGACATTTATTCATATCAAAAATTTGTAGATGCATTTTTCTTTATATAAACTGAAATAAACTTCAAAATCGGAGGCTTTTATCTCATAATATACGACTGTGATTTTGTTATGTATTGTTTTTTTAAATTACTAAACTAAGAACTCTTCATTTTTCACTCAGAACATTTTTATTGTACCTAATTTTGTTCTGAAGACTCATTTTTCCAAGTACTACGTAACAAAAAGAACTAGATGCAAAAAGGTAATACCACATAGAAGATAAATGGATATATCCATGATACTAAGACTAAGAAGATAAGATATTGCGCATAAGTCGTGACGTCATTGGAGAGTTTGACGTTCGAAATGTCAGATTTTTGCATGTATCAATAAATAATCTTTAAAGGCAGCTTTACATCTAGGCTATGCAAGTCTCATGCTATGCACGTCCGTCTTGCATGGCACATCTCTTGCCTAGCTTGACCTTTTTACATCAGAGATATTTCGGTGCAATTTTAGATCCCACTTTCATTGTTGCCAACAGAGAAAATATTTATCAATTTGAGGTTATTTTATTTTAAATAAATATAATTAAGTACGAAAATAAATATACACTATTTATGGTTATTAAAAGGGTGAAGGATGTCAACCAAAGAAAAGAAAACATTGTTATTGTTGAATATTGCTGTTGTAGCAACAATCATCCATATCAACGACTCACCCAGTCGTTTTTACATTAGCTTTAGACATAGTATATCTATTTATCACGACTTAATAAACTTAATTTAAATCAAAACACAACAATACACACGTGGGCTAAGGGACGCTAAAGACAGAGATAATGTTATGTTTTATTCTGTAATCTATTATAAATTCTTGTGTTGGCAACATGAATTTTAACGATAAATTGCAAGAAAATAGCATGAAAAATAGAACATGTTCTAATTTTTCGTCTAGCACAGGAATTGCATGGAAATAGCCCGTGGGCATGCGCAGTTTCATGATCTGTCTTGCATGGCTCTTGCCTAGCATGAAAATAGCATAATGTAAAATTGTCTTAATAAATAGTTTGGAGATATCCTTATGTGTACGATTATTGTAATTATTAAACCTCTTAACTTATTTTCGTCTAGTAATTTCATCACAGAATGCATACAAATCCCATTTAATTTTGACAAGAATTCAAATTCTACTCTTCAATGACGGCATGCGCGAACACGACCTATTTTGTGCTACGGGAAGATCCTATCTTGTTATTATAGTATCATGGATATATCTTTAATAAAAACAAAAAGAAACGTAAAAAGTAAACAGAAGACAAAAAAAATCGACGATAAAACAACTGGAACTACGACGAAACAAGTATCATTACAGAAAACTTCAATTAGAATAATTAATACAGTATGTTCAGCAATCAAGTAATTTAAGTTATATCACCAAACAGCTATGATCCATAAAATGCGTTAGCCTTTCATGGGAAGACCAGATTTATGAACAGGTAGATGGAGTAGCCTTTGTAAAAATGAGAAACGTACTTTGCAGTCATGATCTTAGCATTGACCTTAGAGTTCGTATGATATCTTGCTACATCTTTCCTGTCCTGCTGTATGGAGTAGAAGCGTGGACCCTAACTGAAGCTATGCTTAAACGCTTGACAGCCTTTGAGATGTGGGTATACAGACGACTACTGAAAATAAGCTGGGTCGACAGAGTTAGAAATGAGGAGGTCCTTAGACGGCTGAACGAAACAACACAACTGGTCAATATAATAAAGAAACGCAAGCTGGAATACTTCGGTCATATTATGAGACACCCTGAAAAATATGATCTTTTACATCTGATCATTCAGGGAAAGATCCAAGGTAATCGTGGTCCTGGTAGAAGAAGAACATCATGGCTAAAAAAAAATCTAAGGCAATGGTATGGAAAATCAACTACATCGTTATTTAGAGCTGCTGTCAATAAAGTCACGATAGCGAATATGGTAGCCAACATGATATCCAACGATCGATAACGGTCATGGAACTAGAAGAAGAAGAAGAAGATGGAGTAGCAATGGGAAGCCCACTAAGCTTGGTCGTAGTCAACCTTTTCATGGAGGATCTAGAAAAGAGGATAATGGAGTCAGTGGCGCACTGAGGAGGGGGTTTTGGGGGTCAAATCCCCCCAGGACCCTATTCCGACACTGTTATTTACAAATTTTAAGGACTTAAAATTGTGGAGGTAGCATAAAAAAATTTCGGTTCCCAACCAAACCCCCCCCTCCCCAGAGGACAATTCTAGGTGCGCTACTGAATGTAGTCAGCATACAACACTTTGCAATGTGGCTGCAATATGTTACCATTTGACGTGGAATTAAAATATTGGTGAAAATTAATTCACATTTTTATCGTTTTATTGTTCGTGTCACACATTTGATAGAGTTTTGTAAAACTGCAAACGTTCAATACCAGAAAATTCTTGGTTATGGGAAAACTCGCTTTTTGGAAACGTTCACATGCGTGCAATCAATCTTAAGAGTTTATAATGGATTAAAGACATATTAAATAACAGTCCAAAATTACTGAAGGATTTTTTCAAGGACCCATGTTTTCCCTTTTTTCACTCCCTCTGTACTCTTTGAGGTTTATTTTGCTTTACAATGGGCCGGTTGCTAAACTAGTCAATTAATCCTCTTTTATCTAGGCTGGAACCCTTCTGTGAGCAGAGATTGGTAATGTAGGATGCATCTTTAAAGAAAAGAAAGTGTTCTACTATTTTTATTTTTCATTTTAATCATAATGGGGAAAACAATTTAAGAATAAAACACAATGTGGATTTTTAATGCCTTTTCATTTAGCCATGAACTTAACCGTAATCTTATGCTGGTATGTATTTGATGAAATTGATTCTTATATTTACTATAAAGTTAAAATCGTATTATGGATGAAACTGCTAATAAAATAACAAACTTTTTAAAAGAATCAAGTTTTAGTTCTGAAATAATATAAATATAAACACATTTTAAAATACATATTTATTATTGAAATATTTTTTAATTACCACTTAATTAGGATTGTTAAGTATCACATCTAAATGAAATGGCACTGAATTTATTGTAATTTGTTATTATAAAATAAATATTATTTTATATCATTTCTCTATTCTACTAATTCTAAAAATTAACACCAGGAGGCGTCCAAAATACACTTTCCCTGGAACCATTTGTACTGTAGTTGATTTTCAGGTGAGTACTGGTCCACATCTATACCGTTGGCAGCTTCTTCTTGACTCTGAAATAAATTCAGCTGTTTATTTGAATATAATTCTTTAGATGAATTGATTCTTGAAGACTTAGATATATTTCTGGTACTAATAATGACAATAAAGTTTTTCTGATAGGTACTAACAAGATAGGCAACGACAGTCTGTATATCGTACAAATATACGATCCAATACACGGAGTTCAAGATTAAGAAATGGCACGTTCATTACATTACAGTACATTAAAAACTGCTAAATAGGAAAGCCACAAAAATCCTGGGAGATTTCAATACAAACACTGGTGTAACTAAAGAATACCACGACTTGTGAGAGTTGGCGAAAGAAGAAGCAAGAAAGAAGGATGCTTTCCGGAAAGAAAGACTTTCTTGAGGAATGTATAAGCTATCCATCCCCATCCTCTTATTTGACCTTGGTAAACTCGGGGCTCTTATATTAAATGAACATCAAACCTTCTCATACTAACAATAAATTTTGATGAAGCTGTCTGTCTCACTGAGTTGGAGCCTGTAGGTCTCTGATTGGAGTCATCAAGACCTTGATACTTCCTACAATCCTTACACCTTCAGTTATAGTGCCTCCAAAAAAATTTTTTCTAGTATACATTCTGTCTCCTTTATTAAATTATTTAGGCCCATAATGTCGTATGACACCAGTTCTATCAAGAGGACAAAGACAGTTGTCTACTGAATACGCTAATAAATTACTATTACTAAAACAAAATGGATAGTTGGAGCTCAGAATGGATATTTAAAAAATATTTTAAATTGTTTTGTGGATTAATACCGGTCCAATATTTGCCTAATATCAAAATGTTTTTAAAAATTGAATGCATTTAATTAATAAATATTTTCCATAAATTCAAATTCAAGTTGCAACTGCAGAATTGGCAGAAACAATGCAGGAATTGGTCGCATCTGAAAATATCCCAACTTCCAAAAAATTTCCCATTTTGTCGTTACAACAGATTAGAAATTTGACTATTGGAATCTGCCAAGTAAAACTTGCACCCAGTTATATTCAATAATAATTACAGAGAGAAAACGTTGAACATTTTACATTTCAAAAGCACTTTTAGAACAGGGCTTTCTTAGAACTCATAATTATTCTAAATTTCGTCAGGCGACTAAACATAAATTATGGATAGCCTAGTAAGTTGGCTACAGTGTACTTATGACTTACGTCAAAGTTAATGATTCTATAATAATTGTAAGCAAGTCAAGATGGTTGTAATTGGTAATATGTTGTTCTAAATAATAAAGAAATAAGTCATTAAGAATATACCATTTTGTCATTTATAATCAGAGTTGGTGCAGTGATATGAAAAGATGTGTGCGATTTCCTTTTTAATCACTTTATTACCTATCTTATTTTCTTTTGAAACTATTCGAAATTATGAGGGTGATACAGTTATGAAAAGTCAAGATATCGTTTTAACCAGTGATGTTAGAGAAAATGATAAAAAATATTAATACTAATTATATACTTTACCATTGGAGGAGGAAATATTCTTTTACAGTCAGCTTTATGCAGGTGTTCTTTGACAGCTGTCACTAAATACTGGCGAGTTTCTGTGGTAATACAAGTTTTGCATAATTGGCACTCCAGTGACATACAATTCGAACGACACGTGTGACTGTTACATACATTTGGATAAACTGCTAACGTTTTGTCAGATACCACCATGTCTTCTTCTGATTTTGATCTAAATTTTTAAAATCAAAAGATTATTCACAAACGTAAAAGTTTAAGTACAACAAAATACATATTATAATATATACCTAGTTGAAATTCTAAAATATATTAAGCTGTTTTACTTTTATGAAAATGAAGTCATTTCTTTGCAATAACCATCTCAGTTTAGAACTAAGATAAAGAATGGTTAAGTGCTATGTTTGGTCCGTATTTTTGTATAGTGCAGAAGTGAGGATACTAAAAGTATTGATGATGAACAAAACTGAAGCATTGGAAATGTGGGTTCATATAAGAATCCTAAAGATGCCTTGGACAGCAAGGAAAACTAATGAATAAGTACTCAGGAGCGTCAACAAAGATAGAGAAAGACTGTTCATCGAAAAATGTCTTATCTGGGACATATAATAAGGGGCAGTCTTATGCATTAATAGATTTCACTTCTAAAGTCACCCAAACACTAAATAATAATTCTATCGCTATCGCCACTTTTCTGGGTGTACAAAAGGTCTTTGACAAGTCTGGCACGACGGACTGGTTCGGAGGCTAATTGACACCAGACGAGAGATCAACTATCAACCCCATTCACTCTACGAGCTGGAGTACCCTAAGGTTCAGTGCTAGCACCCTTATTGTATATAATGTGCAACACACATTTCTAACCAAAATGTACTAAACACCAAACTGTATCTCTATGCAAATGACACTGCCCTTCTCACCACAGCGAATGGCTTTTTTTCTGGAGAAAACTTTTAGAAGAGCAAAAACTCTTTTAAGCGGTATCGAGGAATGGTGCAATAAGTGGAGAGTCACACTACAAAAACACAAACAATTGTGTTCCGCAGCCCTGCAATATCTCACAAAGTCTATCGCAATCACGATGACCAATTCCACCTGGATTTCATGGGACAAGGGCTCGCTATCAGCCCGACAGCTTCCTATTTGGGTGTTCTATTCTCTAGGATACTCAACCGAGAACCTGATCTAAAGGCAACTTTAGATAGGGTCAGAAACCGAGCCCCTCTTCTTATTCCACTTACAGGGACATTTAGAAAAACACATACCAAAACTCTCATTCATATTTATAAAACATTCATTCGATCCGTTTTAGAGTATAAGTCCAACTGCCTTCTTAAAGAGAAGTGTTTGCAGAAAACGTTGGTACTTTCCATCCCGTGAATTCCATAACACCGTAAGTGTTATCCCAATCATCAAGAGAATCAAAACTCTCAACAGGAACTTTACTATCAGAATAATAAACTGCCCCCCATCCAACACCCTAAAAAGTTCCTGCTCTTATTGTGGTCACGTAAAATCCTGGAGGTCCAGAATCAAAAAACTTCATATCCCGTCTGTCCTAATGCAGGCATGCATTGACGAACTTCTAGGTGGTTACGCTGACATCCTTGAAGCTACTGCGCTAGCTTACAGAACCTACATCTAACCCAATCCTTCTTCCTTACCCCAGACAGGGGGAGATTAGTTTTTTGCGGTTTCCCAATCTCATTACTCAATGATATCTGTCCGTCCCTGAGAAAATAGCCGCAACTATTTTATCACCTGAGCCGGCAAACGCTGGAACTGTCTATCGATCTCCGACGAGGCCTGGTCGTCAGCGAAAGCGACCAATAACAAGAATTAAGGTGCAATACACTAGTTCTGAAGTTGGTCGCAGACGCACAAATGGCTTTTAGGAACAATGGTCATTAGAGAACACGGTTTTTCGCCTATGCCGATTCAGACTCGCACACATTCACACTCAAACATATTCACACAACTTACGCTCACACTAACCTGACAGTGAAAGGGGTCCCCTTTCACTGGAACAATAGCAACTATAGTTGAGCCGCTAAAAAGATGGAATGATCACGTGAATGGCACGCACTTTTAAATATTCCTCTCTCTATGTTATCACTTTTCCCACGTTTACACCGCTCAACAAAAACACTCTCGCTATAATATATTTATACCGTTTTTTACAGGTTATTGATTTACCTACATTAAATTGAAAAATTTTCACAAAATTCACCAGCCAGCGGAAGTGAAACACAAATCATGATATATAAAACATTTAAGTTATAGTATCATGACACAAATAATGACGGTGTAAACAGTTTCTCAGAAGGTCTAGTTTTGACCGGCTGTCGATGCTTGCATTGAGTGATCATGCGACCTTGGATTCCATCTTTTAAGCGGCCAGGGTATAGAGATTCGACTCTGTCGCATTTAACTAAAAAAACATACACACTCTTTCTGGAAAGAACACCACATCCAGACAAGCCTTTAGGCTCCGATTCGAATAGTGACTCCATCTCGACAGCCTCCAAGATGCTCCACCCGAAGAACACCACTACCTCAGCGAGTTTTTCGGTCTGTTTTCCTTTACGTTCCAACACAGCATATTCAACTCTAGCCTGAAGAGGATCGGGCACTTTAAGTTCATTCCTTTTCGAAATAAAGCATTACTTAACCCTATCCCACAACATGAACATTGAAGTAAGTGAGTAAATACCAAAAATAGATCACTTGAGAAAGGCACTATAGGATAAATGTATTCAAAATGGAGAACTTAATTATTATGTGTATAAGTACCTTACAGCTAAAGAACTTCTGTATATACTTTCTCCGACTCCAACCAAACCTAATACGTTGTATAATACTTGTTGGTACAGCAGTCTGTTTGGTGGAAAATGAGCTGACGATAAGTTTGGGCTCATGTTTGCTTCCAATAAGTAGATTTTTAGATTTTCATCAACTAAGAAATCAAAACGCATTAGTTCGAAAAAGTTCCTTTTACTCGTGTACCTGGAAAATAAAGAATTCTATGTAAAATGAAAATTAATTATTTATGAGTGTTATGTTTTAAATTATTATTTTTATAAAATGAATTAATATATCGCATGCTTTTTCGCGATTTATTAAAACGACATGGCAACACTGCCAATACAAAACTTTCCTTCATTCTATAATATACTTTTGCCGATTTGTTATACTAAAATTTTGTTGTACCTTTGTAGAACATCAACAATAGCAGCTTCTTTGGCTATTACCACAGTTCGAATGGCATCTTCTATCTGTTTCCAAATAGTACTGGGATCTTTGCCCAAACTTTTTAAATAAGCGTTAAGGCTGTCTCTCATCCCAAATCCTAATTCGTTGTAATAGTAATCCAACGCAGGTATTTTCCAAACGGGCAAGTAGTCGTCACCCACAACATATTTATCCAAGTTTTCGGGGTCAAATGGATAATATTTTTCTGGACAGAATCTAAAATTAAAAATGTTATAAGTTAAGAAAAAAAGTTGTATACATTTGTATAAAATATTTTAAATTTTAAACATTAACGTGCAAACGTCAAATGTGGCTTCAAAGTACATAAAATTCTATAAATGTATATTATTTTTCCGGATTAGTATCCGTGTAAAGATTAGTAATTTTCAGATTTCGATATTTCTCCTATTTTTTACACTAGATTTATTTTTGAACTTGCTGCTTTAAACAAATCAATCAATAAACAAATTTTCAGTGTTTTCCCTAAATATGATTTGAGTTCTTTTACATCTCGTTTGGTTAGTTCATATTTGAATGGCATAGGCTGTGCATATTGAAGTGTAAAAATGAATAAAAATAATATAAATGACGATATTTTACTAAGTGGCTCAAATTCAAATAAAAAAATAAAGTTAGATATAAAAAAATGAACAGATGAAGAACTGTTGAATTATTAGAAGCAAGCGATGAAGAATTTAATGACTTTCTTGATTCAAACAGTGAGTATTTACCAGAATCTGAGGATAACATTGAAAATAACTTACCTGCAGCACTTATTGAGGATACCGAAGATAATGTATGTTATATTATATACAAATATTAATTTTTTAGTAAAAATATATTTAATTGTAGACTAAGCGTTGAAGTTAATGGAAGCGATAAATGGGAAGAAAATTATGATGGCACGAAAAATTTCCCATTTTTAAATCACCAGGAGTTACTAATACAAGTTTCCGGTAATAATCCAGTTCACTTTTTTCGAATGCTACGTACAGATGAATGTTTGCAGCAAATATGTGATAAGAAAAACAGGTATGCCGAGTACGTTTTCTTGTTTAATGCAGGGCCGACACATTCTAGAATTTTCTATTGGAAAATGTTGACTCCCGAAGAACTGCTAGTCTTTTAAGTATTGGTTTTACATATGGGTTACATTTCATTGCCTAGGATTGAGGATTATTGGAAAAAGAAAGATGCTCTTTTAGCTAATGCAATTTTTCACTTTTATGGCCGGAACATTTGTTTGTATTGTAGTAAAAATCCAGAAGAGGGAGAACAAGTACCTCTAAGAGAATGGAAGAAGTTTATTATCCTGATCGTAATTTGAGCTAAGATGAGTCAAGGATATTACGCACAAGACAACTCAATTTTAGACAATACTTAAAAAACAAAAAGCATAAATATGGAATCAAGTTGTCTATGTTGACCGAATCAAATGGTCTAATTTTAAAATTTTTAGTTTATTCTGGAATGTTTGACGATTCAGGTTGAAAGGGAAAGGGTTTTGATTTAGTCAAAAAGTAGATTACTGCAGAAGTAAAACAAGAAAAACTTGCTAAAGATGCAACAATTTCCGTTGGCGAAAAGGGGTATTAGTTGGCAAATGGAAGGATATAACAACAGAATGTCAAAATACCTTACAACAAGTTACAATAAGAAGAGGTCAGCATGTAATGAAACCAGAGCCTATTATAAAATATATTAAAATATGTCTGGTATAGACCTACAAGACCAGATGCTTGCTTATACAGTTATCATCATTACCTATAAAACATTAAGCGGCTCTTGGTGAAAAGCTACCCAGAATAGGTTGGCAGTTAACGTGTTAAGAGGTATAATAATATAAAAAATGCCGGGTAAAACCCTTTAAATATAGTTAAATTAATTTGAATTTACAGTGTTGCTGATAAATACACAACGATTGTCTAAATATATTTAAATTTTTAATAATAATTTGCTTACCGTAAAAGTCCTTCTCCGTTGTAAATATAAACTCTTAAAGGTTCCACAGAAGTAATTATAGTATAAATACCAATATCAAATCTGTGCCCACTAACTAATAAAGGCTTATCGATATACTCCTGCAGAAAAGTCCCTTCTTGGTCTAAATTCACGTCAAAAATCTTTTTGATCTTAACCTCACGATGATCGTTGTTTTTTTGTACAAACGATACATTGGGAAACTTCTGGGAATATTCCAGTAGTTTGTCTTTATCCACAGGTAGCTTGAATGCTGGTGGTATGTAATTTAAGCCGCTAGTAGCAAGAGTCACTTTGTTCGTTATGTGACCGATTCCCGGTAAATGGTTAACTTTTTGATGAGGTTTCAGATTGTCCAATTGTGACCTGCAATAATGGTAATAGTTAATAATAATTACACAACATTTTAGAAAAACTCAGTTATTAACAGATTGCAGAGACTTACATGGGCTGAACACATTGCTAGCATGTCAGATCACGAATGCACGAAGAGATTTTCAAAACCAGAGGGCACAAGAAGGAGATGGATCGATGATGTAGAAGAAGACCTACAAATTCTAAGGGTGAGAAGATGGAGGGAAGATCCACAAGGGATTGTCGACCCACTTATGATGATCATGATGACAACTTTAGAAGTTTATTATAAGTATTATTTTATATATAAAGTTCAGAAATATTTAGAAGCATTTAACATACAGAAGCATTTGTTTGAAATCGATATCGACCATAGACATGTGGTGTATAAATAGTAAATATACCAAATTTTTAAGTAAAATACGCAGTTTGGTTTGCTGATAGTTACCTAAGTTCCGTAAAGGGATAATCATGGGCCCAAAGCAGATCCCACTCCGAGTAATTATCTTCTTTTTTATATCCTAATCGATGTAGTATCGTGAAAACTTCTTGTAAATGCCCTCCATCGACATCTTTACCATAAGCCCAAAACGCCTTTTGTATTTTCTCTGTCGGCTGTAAGTTTGCGGCTTTATCGAAGCATTTCCTACACTCATCTGCAGTTATGGCAATTACTGTTAGAACTGCAACGCCACCTAAGACAACTGATAATATGGTGTATTGTCCTATAGCGGTTTCTATTAGGGGTTTTGGAGGAGGTCGGGATGGCTGAAAATTAAAAAAAAATAGTAAAAATTATTTATCTGCGATATTTTAAATGATATCAATGTTGTATAATGAATTTACTTAAACCAGAGCTTTATGCAACCTCTAAGAGAAACACAACGTTATAAATAATTATCCTGTATTTGTAGTAAAATAAACATTATCGTCACTCATTGTTAAGTTACACGTTAAGTTATAACAAGAAAAACAAATGTAAGATAGAGTAGATATCCTAGTTTACTGTCAGCTATACGCCCAGTGCCGCATTCAACCGAAATCCCCGTGCCAGTTTTCAATGAATCTCCCTCTTTGGAAGAACGGGAATACGGATATGGTGCAGATGAAAGTGACTCCAACGATGAAGATTTCGAAATTGAAGATGACTCCGTACGTAAGGGATTTGAGGAGCAAGAGCTAAATGATTATGTACGAGATTTGGGACCATCCAAAAAAGCTTCAGAGTTCTTAGCATCACGCCTCAATGAGAAAAACTTTTTTTCGAACACTAGAAAGGGCATTTCTGCAATACTATCAAAGTGATAGTGGATTTGTGTTTTGCCATAATGTAAGTGGTTTAATGGAAGAATTGGGAATTGAAGCTATAACGCAACTTACTGGCGACTGTTTATAGATAGCTCAAAGCGGAGCTTTAAGTGTGTTCTCCTCCACAATGGAAATTTATTTGGTTCAGTTCCAATTAACCATTCAGTTTGTTTGCGTGAAGAATATGACGATATAAATTGTCATTGATCTGTTGCAATATCACATGCACCAATGGATCATTTGTGTTAACCTTAAAATGGTCTGCTTTTTACTTGGTCAACAACGTGGTACACAAAGTATCCCTGCTTTTTGTGTATGTCGGACAGCAGAGCTCATGTGCAACATTGGGTGCAGTTGAATTGGCCGTCAAGACCGTCATTGACCTAAGACCTGGTGATCCAAACATTGTACATCAGCCACTTGTCGACAGAAAGCATATTATATTTCCACCTCAGCATATAAAATTGGCATATAAAAATGAAGCAATTTGTTAAAGCTTTGCCAACTCGAAATTTCCTAGCCTATCATTTGAAAAGATAAAGGCCGGTGTTCTTGATGGTCTATAGATTCGGCAACTTCTTGCAGATGAACATTTCGTTGTCACAATGTCAGAAATTGAAAAGAATGCGTGATTGACATTCAAAAACATTATTAAAAACTTTCTTTGAAATACACGAGCATTGAATTACGCCAGCATTGTCAAGCACGTCTAAGAGAGCTTGCAAAAGCTAGGTTGCAACATGAGCATTAAAGTGCATTTTTTATACAGCCACCTTGCAAACCCGGACAATCTTGGTGCGGTCAGTGATGAGTAGGGCGGGCGTTTCCGACAAGATTTGAAGATCATGGAAGTACGGTATTAAGGTAGATGGGACGTACATATACAGATTGAACAAATTTAAAACGCATCATACAATTTAATATACCTATGTCTGTTTGAACTGCATTTGAAATAGTGGACCAATATAAAACTTGGACAAAAATAAATCCATACCTGGGTATAGACATTGTATAAAATATCGTTTAACTATCTGTCTCGCAACAATGTTACAATGTTGTTTGCGTAAAGGAAGCGATAATAGTTCAGGAAAGTTCAGGAAGCTCGAAGTTAAAGTTAAAAGTTAAAACTTTGCAATTTTTTCGTCCTGCATGCATTGAGTTGAAATTTTAACAGAAGGTAGGTGATAGCGCAAGGATCAAAATCTATATCGAACCGAAGTGCGCTGAAGGGTTTTAGGGGTGAAAACTACCCCTAATTGCCAAAAATTATAAAATAACATATTAAACCGGAATATGGCTAAGATTTGGTTTGAATTAGTTAAATAATGATTATTTTATACTTTTGAATAGAGTTCCATCATATTTCAACCCTTAAAAAGCAACCCTTGTTAGAGATTAATGTAAAAAATTACTAATTCTAAAAAATGATTTCGCTTTGGATCGATTTGGATAAAAATTTGGATTTAAGCTCAATTCACCCACTGCTTTATAGTTTATGTCATGTCGACGAACCCTGATTGTTTTTATAGGTAAAAACTACCCCTAGTTGTCAAAAATTATAAAATAACATATTAAACCTGAATATGGGTAAAATTTGGTTTGAATTAATTAAATAATGATAGTTTCGTACTTTTGAATAAAGTTCTATCATATTTCAACCCCTAAAAAGCGACCCTTGTTAGAGATGTTAGATGTTTTGAGGTAGTAAATAAGTTTACATATTTGGGTTCTCTCATAACAAACGATAATGACACATCTGAAGAAGTTAAACGGAGGGTACTGCTAGCAAACAAATGTTATTTTGGACTAAGCAAGCAGCTAAAAAACAGAAACTTAAGCCAGAAAACCAAACTAATAATATATCGAACACTCATCCTACCAGTGCTGACATATGGGTCAGAAACATGGACCATCTCCAAAACAGACGCAAATCTTCTGCTCGTCTTCGAAAGAAAGATACTAAGAAGAATAATGGGCGCATTCTGTGAGAATGGTATTTGGAGAAGGCGATATAATTTCGAATTGTACGAGAAATATAAAAAAATAGTAAATGGTAGAGATGTAATATCCTTCATAAAAATAGGCAGGCTTAGATGGGCTGGACATGTGTCAAGAGCAAATGAGAATTACCCACCCAGACGAACTCTATTATCGGTCCCAGTGGGAAATAGGAGTAGAGGCAGACCACGACTGAGATGGAGGGACGGTGTGGACGAGGACGCAAGGAAAATCGGCGCGGCAAATTGGCAACGGTTGGCGATGAACAGAAACGACTGGCGAAATAGACTGGGGAAGGTCAAGGCTCAACTAGAGCTGTAGCACCACTGATGATGATGTTAGAGATTAATGTAAAAAAATGTAGTAATGCGAAGAAAATGATTTCGCCTTGGAACGATTTGGATAAAAATTTGGAATTAAGCTCAACTCACCCTCTGCTTTATAGTTTATGTCATGCCGATGAACCCTGATTGTTCTTAGGGGTGAAAACTACCCCTAATTTTCAAAAATTGTAAAATAACATTACCAATCTTAAGATGAGTGAAATTTGGTTTGGATTAGTTAAATAGTGATTTTCTTATACTTTAAAATACAATTTCATATATTTTCAACCCTTAAAAATCAATTGTTATGAGTGCTATAGGTGAAAACAATTTTTTGCCAAAATGTTGCAACTTTTCAACTTTTGAATATCACCCTTTATAACATTGCAGTTTTTATAAACTAATTTAATAGATATAAACTGAAAAAAGTAGAATTAAATACAAAAAAAATTATCAACATAAAAAGGCACCTTATATATTTACATAAATAGTTGAAAATATTTACATTTATAACAACAACAACAACAGTTCATCGGGTGCAGGTTGTTTGTTCATGCGTACGGGTAATAACAAACCATCTTTGGAATACCATCCCCAATCTGTTGCTCTGATATTTTCATTGCCAAGCCATAGACATATGAGCAGATGTTTTATTCTGTTGTAGGGGATTTCAAAATAAGAACGCTTAAAATTTTGAATGTATAACGCCCCACTACCTAATATACCGGTTTTGTAGATTATTATGCTCCGAAATGTACTGTACTATACTAATGGAATTTTCCGTAAAAAAATTAATTGGTTTTTTTAACATATTTCCTTTATTTTTAACGATAGAGTGTTTCTTCAAAAACGATTTTGTAGAGGTTTTTAAGAGCTACAAGTATCTGTGAATTAAATCTTTTTGGAACCCTTGGTTTTTAAATGGGGTGAGTTTAAAGGGCTCGAAAAAGATGGTGCTTGATCTTAATTCGATGCTTTAAACGGCTATATCTCGCCAAATATTCATTGTACAACAAATCTAAATAAAGGAAGATTTTAGTCATTAAAAAAAACTACAATTTAGTACATTTTTATTTTTTTTTATATATTCAGTATTTTCGGGGATATTTAAAAAAAGGAGGGTAAAAAATATGAAATTGTAAATCGTTTCTCGCTTTATGCTGTACTTTTTCTAAAACTAAGCATTTTAAATGGGTCAAACTTCTTGGACGTATTAACAATACATGTACAAAGAGAATTGCAAAAGGGTGAAGATCGATTTTAATTGAGGGGGTGGTTAGGGGGTTGTTTTCATCGATTTTTTTGTAAAAAAATGAGATATTGACCTTATTTTCATCATAACTCACTCAATTTTTGAGCTAGAGTCTTTTTTTATAATAGGTCTATTTATGCTCTTTAAAAAAAGGTTTTGTGAGTTTTCTTCCAAAAATGCATCATTTTCCCGATATTTGACTTTGAATCTTTCAAATTTGGCATTTGAAGAAAACCGCTGAACATTGATAGGCCGTATTTCGGTTCCTGTTATATCGCAAAAACATTTTAAAAAATGAATTGTATTTGTCTTTTTAAAAGTTACAAATTTGTTCTCTATAATTTTTTTGATAAAATGCACCATTTTCGAGTTATTCGCGAAAAATCGATTAAAAACGTCGATTTTTTCGTCTAAAAGTTGTTACTTTCAATCGCGAATAACTTGAAAAATATCAGTTTTACAAAAAAAATGTATAAACATTTTTTGTTTAGAATCACTTTTTTAATCGAAACCTGTAGTTAAAACGTAAAAAAATTTCACTCCCGAGATGGGGTGGCAACCACCCCTAAGGCTTTGGCGCACTTTGGTTCGATATAGATTTTGATCCTTGGCTATTACCTACCTTCTGTTAAAATTTCAAGTCAATCCACGCAGGACGAAAAAATTGCGAGGTGAAATGCTTCATTTCCTGGACTATAAGTGGTTTGACAGCATAATAAAATCGTAGATTTATGTGTAGCTTTCAATTTTTATGATTTCAGAATTCAGCAGCCCGCTTAAGTATTGGATTTATATAATATAATTATTTGACAACCTTTTGTTGGTCAACCACCTACAGCAGAATTGAGCCGAAATACATAATATTGCGTATGTTCCGAATTTATTTC